CGGCGTCCGCGGTGGTCGCCGACCTGATCGACACGGCCGTCGGCCGCACGCGGCTGACGTTCCAGACGCTCAAGTTGTGGAGCGCCGAGTCCGACCGCACGCCGGTGGCCGACCCGGCCGAGGCGCTGGCGAAGTTCTACCTCCGCGTCGAAGCGGCGGACGAACCGGGCGTCCTCGCCCAGATCGCCGCGGCGCTGGCGGCCGAGGGGATCTCGATCGCCAGCTTCCAGCAACAAGCAAGCGCAGCGGCGACGGTGCCGCTGGTGCTGATGACGCACGAGACGACCGAGGGCGCCGTGTCGCGGGCTTGCGAATCGATCGGCAAGCTGAAACCCGTCGCGGCGGGGCCGGTGCGGCTGCGCGTTGTTGGGTGACGGAAGGGTTTTACCACGACGGACACGACGAGCACGACGGCCGGGAGCAACGGGTGACTACCGCCATTCCGCAAGATGTCGAAGAGGTCGGGGCTCGGGTCCTTGATGCTGCGTTCAAGGTTCATAGAACTCTAGGACCGGGATTGCTGGAATCGGTTTACGAGGCGTGTCTTTGCTACGAGTTGTCACAAGCGGGCGTCAACTTCGAGCCTCAGTGCTCGCTACCAATCCGCTACGGAGACGCAACGATAGAGGGAGGGCTGAGGCTCGATCTGCTCGTTGAGGGCAAGGTGATCGTCGAACTCAAGTCAATCGAAACGTTGCTTCCTATCCACGAAGCCCAGTTGCTCACCTACATGAAGCTGGCGAACAAACGCCTCGGCTTCTTACTCAACTTCAACACTGTCCTCTTACGCGATGGCATGAAGCGGCTCGTCCTCTAAGAAAGACTCGTCGTGTCCTTTATGCCCGTCGTGGTGAACAATCTTTATGAAGTACGTCATTATCATCCCCGACGGCGCCGCCGATGAGGCGCAGGGGTCGCTCGGTGGTAAGACGCCGCTGGAGGCGGCTGCGACACCGCTCATGGACGCGCTCGCGAAGCGGGGCGTTGTCGCGCGGGCTTGCCATACGCCTAAGGCGCTGCCGGCGGGGAGTGAGATTGGGAATCTTTCGCTGCTAGGCTACGACCCGTTCGCGCACTTTACCGGCCGGGCGCCGATGGAGGCGGCTGCGCAGGGGATCGAGCTGGGCGAAGGTGATTGGGCGGTTCGTTGCAACACGGTCACCGTCGAGGATCATGGCGACGGTCCGGTGATGGTGGACTTCACGGCGGACCATATCACTTCGGAGGAGTCGGCGGCGCTGCTGAAGACGTTGCAGGACGAGGTCGCTAGCGATCCGAAATGGCGGGGCGCCTTGGAGTTCATCCCGGGCGTTAGTTACCGCAACCTCTTGATCTGGCGTGGCGACAAGCTGGCGGCGCCGTTCTCAAACGACACCCGCACTCAGGCGCCGCACGATTGGACCGACTTGGTGATCCACGACGCCCACCCGAAGGGCCCCGGCGGCGGGGTGCTGGTGGATTTGATGGAGGCTTCGGAGCGGATTTTCGCTGACCATCCCGTCAACAAGAAACGCGTCGCCGAGGGACACAAGCCGGCGACCAGCGTCTGGCTGTGGGGGCAGGGCGGGGCCCCCACATTGCAGCCGTTCGCTGAGAAGTTCGGGCCCAAGGGGGCGATGATCACGGCGGTGGACCTGCTGCGCGGCATCGCGGCGCTGGTGGGTTGGGACCGGATCGAAGTCCCCGGC